TTTTCACATTTAGATCCACATCAAGTAGAGGTGATATTAGTGTTTGGAGTGGGGTAGGGGAGACAGCTGATGTCTCGTTGTATGGCAGTTTAGTTGCTCCAGTACTGCCGAGTGAAAAGCCTGCATTCTCCCTACCCTATCCGTCACCTCATCACCACTCAAGTTCCAGGTTAGGTATGAGACTATTTCAGGATTCTCTGTGCTGTTACTTGTCTGTGTACTTGTCTGTCCTTGGGCGAATCCCACCCTGTCTGAATTACTACAGAATTAGTAAATGCTAGAATCAGCTTGTCAATATTCATTTTAAATGTTACATGGCATCTATAAATTAATTAGGGGAATATTGAGTTCTGCTTATAATGAAGTTATTCAAACCCTAGCCATGGTATATTTTCCCAGTTTTCAAAACTAATTGTTATTGAGCCAGGCGTGCTGGTGCACGCCTGTAATTCCAGTCCTCAGGAGGCTGAGGCAGGAGGATCATTGCAAGTTCAGGACCAGCCTGGGCTATGGAGTAAGTTCAAAGCCAGCCTGAACTACATAGGGAGACCTTGTCTCAAAACAAAAGAAAAAGAAAGCTAATTATTTTATTCATGGTGTTTTAAATGCAGTAGCACAGATATTATGCCCTCCTATAGTGTACTCTAGTATGTTCATTCCAACTTCAGAAGCAGAAATGGAAATGGATATTTGACTAGGCAAAATCAAAATGCTGGCCAATGAAAAGATTAGTGAAATGAGATTTTTTTTTCTATAAAATCTAGTCTTTTCAAGCAGGTGGGATTACAATAGAGTCAGGATTAAATGCAAGTGAGAGAGAGCCTTCAAATTCATCTGCCCCAGTGGCCCAGGTTGTGTGTCATGTCCTTCATCATTACCAGGCCTGCCTCATTGCGACCTTTGAGGTGACCACAGGGACAGCATGTGTAGTTAGCAGGTGTAGCCAGCTCCATCACAGGGTGGTGTCTGCCTTCTCATGTGCTCTCCAGGGCAGCCTTGTTCTCATCATCCTCTGTTCCTCCCTGCAGGATTGTCCTTTCATTGTCTGTATGACCTACGCCTTCCACACTCCAGATAAGCTCTGCTTCATTCTTGACCTGATGAATGGTAAGCAAACCCAGAGTCTGTGCCCTGAAAGGCTCTATGTAAGGTTCCATGTGGGCAGAGAACGTCGGGGCCAGTGTTCAGGTCCTTGTGATCAGCACCCCCACCCCCACCCCCATTTGCAGTAATCTTTCCCTCTTAGTTTTTGGTCAAAATTCATTTTACAACATTGACTGTGATTTCCCTCTGGGCCTGCCAGTCTCTCCCTAAGAAGTTGGACTTTCTAGAAAATATTCTTCTAAAATACTGCCAGTGAAATCTGATTTTCTGGAATGCAGCTGGCCTAGGTATTTAATTAGCTTATTTCCTGGCCCTCAACTCTTAGGAATTAAACACCTCCCAAAAATATAGGCCAAAGACATGTGCTTCAAAACCAGTTTTGAAGGGCTGATTTTGGGCCAGTACAGATTTCAGCTCAGTGCCCTGCACCTTCTGAATCCGCAGACGTAGTTTTCAGACCTTCAAATGATGGCCTACATTATGCCAGAAACGTCTAACTGGAGAAGCTGCTTTCTAATGCAAGTGCCACAGTGTATATTCAAAGTATTTTTAATGACAAGAACTGAAATTAAAAGGTAGACAAGTCAACCATTCAGATGCCCAGTTTTCTTTCTTTAAGTTCACTTGAAGTTTTGAATGGTTTAAGAGAAGGAATTTCCCAGATACAGTCATGGACCAGATCAGCCGGACTACACGCAGATAGTACAAGCTCAGAAAATGCTTAAATACCATTTAATATAGTAAAAGATATATTCTCATTTATTCCCCTCAAAGTGCTCCCCTCACTTGAAACACACCCCGTGGTTCTTGTCACTTTCTGAAGCAGCTCTGGAATCCTGTTCATGAGTATCTTTCTAAAGTAGGAGCAGAAATTACGCGGCCACTGCTCCGTGCCGTCTAGTGGAGAGCAGACGCACAGAAATGTTGCAGTGTCTTCGTCCACCTTTTCACCAGGTTGGCCCCCTGTGGCTCCTGAGTCTTCCCCAAAGTCTAAGTGGCCAGGAAAGAAAAATGCTTTAAATCTATTGGGGATATTGAGGGACTGGGGAGATGGCTCAGTAGGATAAGCGCTTGACTGGCAAACGCAAGGATCTGAGTTCAATCCCCAGTTCCGCAAAAAAAAAAAAAAAAAAAAAAAAAAAAAAAATTGTGGTATTGGATATTGAGGTAGGCACAACAACTCAGCTCACACTGTTGAAAAAAGATTTTTAGAACTACTTTAGAAATGGCAAGAACGTCAGAGTAAGTGTGTTTGAAATACAAGAGAGTGTTTTGAGGGAGATAAACGGCAGTATATCTTTTACTATAATAGTTTTTTTAAAACCTAGGGTCTCCATATTTTTCAGTTATGCCTTGTATTTGCTGGATGGAAGAGGGTACTGCTAAGGTCTCCACAGGGCAGAGAGTTGGACTGAAGCCAGTGCTGTGGCCAGAGAGGGCCTGGGGGCTTTGGGGATACTGTGAATTCAGTGTTGAAGGAGGACAGAGGCACCAGCATTGGGGGAGTACTGTACCTGGAATCGCCAGAGCAATGAGGTTGAAGACACATTAATTTTACAAATCAAGACTTTTCCCCACAGCCTATGCAAACATTCCATGCCCTGCTGTTGACAGCATTGGTCCTATAATTTGAGTCCACATGATTATTTTCTTTTCCCAACATTGTATTGTGAACAATTTCAAACATATGGCAAAGTGGAAAGACTTTTACTGGGGACACTCAGACACCCACACCTGGTTTTACCTGTTTGAATTTTACTGAATTTGCTTGATCAAGTGTTGGTTTTGTCTGTAGAGGCAGTCACTAGACTGTCCTGGTATCTCTGCAGAGAGCGAGTTAGCAGCCAGGGTTGAGGTCATGGGAGTCGGTCAGCTGGTCCTGCCTGTGGTGGGGTGAGGGCAGCCAGGCTGCCGGCCAGTGGAGCTGTGGCTTTGCTCTGCTGGTTCATCTTGTCTGTCACTGCATTTAAGTCTTCTGACAACTGTGTTTTCTCTGTAATGTTTAAAGTTTCTACCAAACTACAGAAGGCAGGAACAGCATGCACTTTCTCTGCTTCTGTCCTGACTACTTAAGATGACAGTGATTTGTGTTCCCTTCAAAGGAACACTCTGAATTAACTTCTGCACCTGATTCCAGGTGGCGATTTGCACTATCACCTGTCACAGCACGGGGTGTTTACTGAGAAGGAGATGCGTTTTTATGCCACGGAAATCATTCTGGGGCTGGAGCACATGCACAACCGCTTCGTGGTCTATAGAGACTTGAAGGTGAGGTTGGCAGAGGTGCTGCTTCTGCACGGTGGGCCCAGATGCTGTGCCAATACCCTCCCTAGTCTCCCCTCCTCTCCTGTCTGTGCTGTTCCTTCCCTCGTAGCCCCATCCCAGCCCTGACAGAGTCATTCTCTGTGGTGTCTGTCTCTCCGACTCAGCCTCTCCAGGGACAGAGCGTACAGCCATCCTTGTTGTGTGGTCACCTCAGCCCCTGCTCTGGCGCCTGGCATAGCACTTAGGCCAATCAGAAACTTAATAATTAGTAAGCAGAAGCAGGCTAGGAATATTTTGGTGCTTCCCACTTTATAATTACTTGGAGTTCAATTAATGTTCACTAAGCAACTGATTTGACTGTGGCTGTTTGTCAGAGGTGGAGATATACTAAGATGAACAGGCTTAGAACACATAGTGACACCTCAGTTAATGAATGCTTTTGTCTGCTGACAGTTTAGTTTGCAAACAGAAGTGTTTGGCAAAATTTTGTTTTTCTTTGTGAACTCTGCATTGGGTGATGAACACAACCCTGGCCATCTTTCTCACAAGAACCTGAATGTGGCCATCTTTCTCAGAATCATGGAGTGAATTTTTGTGCACTGAGGTACCACTATTCTTTTTGCTGTTGTTGCTATTGCTGTTATTGTTGTTGTTTTGTGACTTATTAGCTGGTAAATGAGAACATATAGCACAGAGTCCTGGCTTCTTGGAGGCCAGGCTGGTCAAGATAGGTGAATTTCTAGTCAGCCTGCAGAATTTCTCCAAAAGCCAGACTTAGAGTTTCTCATTGTGTTGAGATTGCTTTGAAAATCACCAATAGATTGTCAGCTTGCTGAACTCCGTAACCCCTGATGACTGTGCTTGGGTCTCTGCTCTTATTCCAGGACTTAGTCCTATTGTAAGCATTCCCACGTCAGACCTTGTGCTTGGTTTTGTTTCTCCACAGAGGAGGAAGTCAGGAGCTTGCCCGGTATGTTCATGGTAACACTCAGCAGGCTGAAGAAAGGGACTTCGGCAAAATACAGATAGGCTTGTATAGATGTGTTAATGTGTCAATGACAAGAAGAAGAAAATTCACAAGAGTAACAGTTTGCTAGAAGGGTGAGGAGACACCAAGAGACTATTTTGCCTCCTGTGTACAGTTCCTGAGATACAGACCCACAGAGGCCAGCTGAAACACCCCAGTTATGTCCCTTTTTCTAAGGAGCTAACATATTGATTAGCTTTTTAACTTACCTTCTACAAATCTAAAATGTTAAAATGTACTTTTTGAGCATTTTTTTCACAAAATATTTTGTGAATTTTAAAGCTTTCTGCAAGGCTAAATATTCCCTTAGTTTTCATGTGTGTATAAATAAAGAAAAATAGTGTTTTTATTGAATTAGAAATAATTAGACATTGGTTGGCTCATGACATTTTATTGCCTCATGTGGGTTTTGCAGAAAATTGCTGCTGAAGGTCCGTGAAGTGCTATTATAATACATTTTAATTTAAATCTATAACCGGTTTCTAATCATCTTTAAGCCATATTTTTGTTTTCTAAGCTATTTAGTTGGAAATGCTATTATTTAATTTCTATTCAAATTGAATTCTAGTCACTCATGATTATTCATTCTTCAGTTTTATAATAGCATGCCATTATTTTTATTTTAAGCAAAACAATAGTTGATCTCCAGCAGAAAAATACTATTAAGATGACAGTAATTCAATGTATGTTAGGGAGAGGAGCTTTGTTTTCCGTGATTACACTAAATCTAATCTTAATAGATACATTTCATCATAGTGGTGATGAGAGTCATATTTGGTCCTTTGGTAGAGCCCTCGCTTGATGTACAAATAAACAGAAATGACATTTATCAGGATTAGTGTGGCAGTGTGGAACAGTTTGACTTCTTAGGTTTGCATCTTTATGTTCTTGCAAGGTTCCTGTCTGTTCTGTTCTGTGTGGCTTCGTGCTCTGAAGTTTGTGATTCAACTAAGCCGCACAGCAGGTGGCCCTGCTTCCTGTTGCCAAGGGGCGCCTCCTCTGGCTGCACAGTGGCTCCTGGTGCAGAGTGAAGGAGTTGCTTGCTGTTCACTCAGACGAACTGTGTCCATGTGTCGTTTTCCAAGGAGTAAAGTCTTTCATCTTCTTCACTGCCTCTTCTTTGCTGAAATTAACACAAGCAGTGCTGTTCTGTGTGCACTGACCTGCGTCCTTTGGGAGCACGGCTATAACTGCATGTTTAGGGAAAAACTATGATGAGAAGATACATTAGCCAGTGTGTTTTTTCTTAGAAGGGCTTCAAGCTCTGTGGCCTGTTGCAACTTCTGATGAGCATCTTCTGTTTCCATTTAGCCTGCAAATATCCTCCTGGATGAGCATGGGCATGTCAGGATCTCCGATCTCGGCCTGGCCTGTGATTTTTCCAAAAAGAAGCCGCATGCAAGCGTGTAAGTGGCACATCCACTGTGTTGGCTGCCCTTTTCCTGCTGCACTTTATTTGTTCCATCAGACGTTGGCTTGGCCATTGACTCCAACCTCCTTTCTCTTGCCACCTGTGGTTTTCAATAAATGATAAAGCCAAGTCGGGAGGATCCATCCCTGCAGGTTTGGGAGTGGAGGTAAGAGTGAGATACTTCAGGAGTGTGGATTGCCCTGCAGTGTAACCAGCCTGCTTAAGAAATGTATGGTAGTGGTGGCGAACCAGTGGCATGCATGCCACAGTGGGTTGTTTGTATCATTGAAAGTTCTGAAAGGTTTACCATCACTGGTCTCAGGGGACAGTTTGGGCCTCGGATAGAGAGCTGAATTCATACTGCTTGTGTCAACCTACGGAAGACAGCTCATTTCTTCAACCCTCAATCCCTTCTCTAGGTAGCAGTAATAATAATCCCTTTACATTGTCACAGAGATAAATGCAAGAGCCCAGGTGCCAAGGGAGGAGTGCATAGCTGTATAGAACTCCCCAAGATAGTGTATAGGGGGAAGTTTCCCCCTGTCTGTTTCTTTTTTTCTTCTTTTTTAAAATATTTTTTCCTTTGAAGAAAAATCAGGACCTTTTCTTTCCTAAATTGAAGAATGAGTCATCTACCTCCAGTTAGAGCTTCTAATGTGGGTCATGTTGTTGGATTTGGATATTGCACCAGTCCTCCAAGTTACCACGTTGAGGTAACTCCTGGCCCACAGCTCGGGGCCAGCTCCTGCCATGTCAGAGACACTGAACAACTGCTCCTGATGGTGACCCTGTTTGGTCAGTGGTAGTTGATATGGCCCAAGGACATCTCCTAACTGAGGAACTTGACAGGAGGCATGTTCAAGCAGCTCTCTCTGGCTCTGCAGACACAGAAGGGAGACTGCCCTGGTGTTCATTTCTGTTTCTTTGGTATCAGTTTATCTGGATGGAAAGTGGACATGTGTACAGTTTGTGGTAAAGCAGACAAATTCTGGCTTATCTTTTTAAATGTCACATTCTTACCATTGTATCTTTTCAAATTACATTTGTCCCTCTTGAGCAAACATTGGTCTCTGTTGAATGGCCTCAAGGAAACTCTCTGGGGTCTCGTTGCATGCATCCATGCAGAAAATAAACTCCAGACCCATCTCTGTGTAACTGGAAGTAAAGTAGTTCTGAATTGCAATCCCTTATGTGTAGCTGCATTAGAGTAAAATTGCCTTTTAAAGCTCTGATCAAATGTTAATAGTGAACAGCAGCATTTCTCTAAACATTCTCCTCCTTTTCTACTGAATCTGGGATATGGTAATAAAAGCATTAGCATTTAGCTAGCACTTTCCAGTTATTAGGCTGGAGCCCATGGTTGTATAAGCTTCTCCCAGGGAGTTCCTCGGATGTTTTTAAGAGAGTCATTTAAATTTTTAATGCTACAGCTATTTGGTATGCTAATTTCTTCAATTTACTGTAGTCATAACTATGAACCCAAGAGTTCATAAGAGTTAATCTTCCAAAAGAATTAACTTTCAGCCATGAGGTTCATTATTTCCTGTTAGAGCCCAGGCTGCTTGCTCAAGTTCCTATCAGCTCCGAGAGGCAGGCTCAAGCTCACGTCTGAGTAGCATCTGTGACGGGGCTGGGTGAGAGGCTGGTCTGCACGGTCGTTGGCAAGAGCGGCACCTTCAGTTTAAAAAGCTAAGTATACAACGAATGCTAGCCTTTTGTAAACCCAGGGCCTTCTCACTGAGCCTCATCCTCAGCCTTTTTTATTTTTTTATTTTGAGACAGGATCTTTCCAGATTGTTCAGGCTGAGCTTGAGCTTTCTATCCTCCTGCCTCATCCTTCCAGGGTACTAGAATTACAGGAGTGTGCCAGCACGCCCACCTGACCTGCTACGTTTTTATTTTTATTTATTTATTGTTTGGTTGGTTGGTTGGTTTTTTGTTTTTTTCTTTTGTTTTGTTTTGTTTTGCAGAATCGGGGATTGAACTCAGGCCCTTGCACTTGCCAGCCAAGTGCTTATTCTCCTGAGCCATCTTCCTTGCCCCCCTGCTACTTTTTTGAAAAGAGGCTTTTTATGACTGAGATCAAGGACTTCAGGGCCCCCAGTGGTTGAGTTTCTTCTCCAGGTTGTCTGAGCCTCATTTCTCTCTTCTTCAAAGAGGAGAGCACTGTGGCACCTCCCTCCTGGGGCGGTGTGACGCAAGAAGGCCAGTTAGTAATTCAGTATTTATTTCACACTCACTCTGTGTTAGGTACAGCAGTAAGACCCAGCTGGTGTCTGACCTGGAACTGGAAGCCTGGGGCACTTTGCTCATTAACCGACCAGCCTGAAGGAAGGCCTTGGGGCCAGTAGCATTAACTGTGTCGTCACTAGATGTTGTTCTAGACCTCGCTAGCAGCTCTGAATATATCTTCATGGAAACCCCATAAATTATGGGTATTGTTACCCACTTTTTGTGGTATGTAAATTGAGGTCTTGAGCAATTAAGTCACTTGGGTCAAGGACATGTGACTGGCCACATTGCGGGCTGGCATTATAGGCTACCTGTCAGATGCCCGAGCCATGCTCTGCCTTGTAGGAGTGAGCGCCCGAGGCTCCGAAGTCTTCTACAGTGCTTAGCACTGGGCTAGACTTCTGTTCCAAATTCCACCTGTACTTGGTTTCTCAGGTCTGTTCACAGCTGTAACTGATCCGCAGACTACATCTGCTGAGTGTTGTGATGGAAGCTCATGAGCTGAGCTCAGACTTGGTCCCCGTACTGCCAGAATCACAAGTTATTATAAACTTGATTTATTCAATTGTGGAATACCCACAAAAAATTAAAGAAAAACTTTTGGAGTCGGACAAGAGTGTTAGTGACTAATTTGATTCGTAGCTTGCCTTATCTAGGAACACAAAGCTGTGTCTCCTGTCACAATATCTTAAATGTTCCCCCATGTTCTTCAGTTTTAATAGTAATCCAGATCTTTAGCAAAATGCCGCGGCAGAGCCTGAAAGCCTCAGCGCCGGCAGTCCGGCGTTTTGCTTTCATCATAGCCCACATACCCTTAAGAGTTGCTGGGCATTAGCTGTTGTACTTCTCCTACTAGAGGTCTCTCTATTCCAGAGCTGTGATTTGATCCTGAGAATTATGAACTAAGCAGTTACCACAGAGGGCTTTTCCAGGCAATGCTGAAAGTTAAAGCTTCCCAGAAAAGGGTTCGGAGGCCCTTGTAGAGGTCCCTGATACAGTCAGTGTGGTGTAGTTATCTTACCTGGGAGCGTTCCACAGAGCTGGCCCCAGCTTCATGGCCCAGAGACCACTGCTGCCTTTTACTAAAGCTCTTTCAAAACATCCATCTTGGACAGGGCCCACTGGACTCCTTGGTGACCCGGGATGCTTAGTGATCCAGGATGAGTGTCTGAGCAGATCCTCAGCTGTACCTGAGCAAATGTCACAAGTCACTACACCCATGGAAGGGGAGGGAACAAATCCCCGGCACGGTGGTGCTCTTACTGTAGGCCAGCTCCACCTTTAGCCTGTGCTTATCTTCAGTCCTCCCAGCACTCTGGAGAGGCAGAAGCATCATCTTATTATTCCTTCTGTTCATGAGGAAAATTACTGAGGAATGTAGAGGTTGCAGTTCCTACAGAGAATGGCTTTTCTGAGGCCCCTACAGCACTGTATCTTGGAGAGCCCCCAGAGCTTCTCTGGCTCCTCATGAAGTTCCTCAGAGCTTAGTGATCTGTACAGAGTGTAGAATGGGTGGACAGTGGACAGTGGGAACCGTATAAAAGTGAGCATTGTCCCAAGAGATTTCTCAGCATCTAGCTAATCACTTTCATGTGTGCTTAATGCTGAGTCCTTAGACCCCAAGCAGGTATCAGAGCCTAATGTAGCATTTCTACCTCATGTCCTTAGGGCTTGTGTCCCCAACCCCATCCGAGTCCCCTGGGCCCTTTCACCTAAAGATCAAACAGCTAGCCCTACTGTTGGCACCTGTGAGCTCAAGTCCTTGAACAGAAGTAGCACAGCAAATAGTGGATGCCACCTGACCTCAGGTGCACAGCACTGCTACACAGTCACCCGCCCAGCACCTCTGCTTCCCTCGCCAGTCTCCAGGTAGCCTGTACCAGGGCCCTTGAAAAGGCAAGAAAGCTGTAGCCCTTGATGGTGGGACAAAAGGGTCTAAGGAACTGTGAGATTCAGAACTCATCTCCTAGACTCAGGGACTCCCATCTGCACATTTATGTTCTGAGTTAAGTTGTTTATGTGACTTGACACAATAACAATGATGGAGACTATTGGATGTGTGCTACAGTGTGTGTGTAGAAGCAGGTGTGGCCTCTCCTTGGTGGTTTCTCATATGGCACCTGTGCTTCCTGGTCAGTGTCAGTGTACTGTCCTAAGGTGAGCCTGCTCTGATGACCGTGTGTCCTGTCCTCTCCACAGGGGCACCCATGGGTACATGGCTCCTGAGGTGCTACAGAAGGGGACGGCCTATGACAGCAGTGCTGACTGGTTCTCCCTGGGCTGCATGCTCTTCAAACTTCTGAGGGGGTGAGTGGAACCACCATGCTGCCATGTGCTTAGACCGAAGTCGAGACCACTTTGGGCCGGACTGTGGCCCAGTGCTAGACCACTCACCTACCACACTCAATGCCCTGGGTCTCATCCCACCACCGAAGAGTGGGGAGTTGTTACTGGATCCTTGTATCTGAAATCACACAGTGATACTTGAGCTGTGTACCACTCTGGAAGATGCCCCAGGCTGCTCTTTGTGGCTTTCAGCATGAGAGCTGCTTTCCCATAAGCTTAGAGATCAAAGCCCAGGAATCCCAGTGTGGTTAACCCTAAGTGAGACTGTGCTGGAATATTTTCTTTGATAGGCCACATTCTGGGAGTGAGTACAATACTGTATGGAAATATTGGATAATTGAGAAAGTTGGGATCATTTTTCTCCTGCCAACTCATTGCTAAGGCTCTTGTGAGCCAAAAAGCATTTTGAGGGTTACTCCCAAGAAGGATGAAGAACCAAAAGAATCCTTTAAAAGTTTGAATTTACTTGTAAACACACTGATTTGTGTTTTTAAAATTATTACAGTATTTGACCTTGTTCTAAAGTACTGGAAAGGATGAGATAGAGTAGAAGATAGGAAAATGCTCTCAAAATTTGTTTTCATGTTGAACACTCAAGTTATCGTGATGTTTCCATGAACTTTAAGAAGTTTTAGATCATTTTAATGCTGACCTCAATTTTAACAGAACTTCAGTGGTTTTCATTCTTCTCCACAAAGTCCAGAAAGCACTTCACCTTGTAATTCCCCAAGCAAGATTTACCTCTTCCCAGATTTTCTCTGTGAACATCTGCGTGCCTCCTGGAGCCCTGTGCCTCTTCTGCTTCTTGGTAGCATACTCTGAAGAGAGGCTGACCCCCAAGCCAGAGTCCAAACACTTGGGCTGTTTCCTCAGGACACTGATAATCTGTTTGTTCTCTGCTCACCATGTTCACTGGGGATCTAAAATCACGTTATTGCTTAGAAAGTCGGGTCTGTTGTTCCATAATCAAATCATTGCATTTGTGGAGCCTGCATGGCTTTAATTCCTGTCTTCAGACTAGCTGACCTGATTAGAGAGTTTATGCAAAGCAAGCTAGAGCAAGCCATTTCCCCATGAGAGCCTTTCTCCCTGATGGTGTCCATTGTGAGTCCAGGGAGACACCAGTAGTCTTTGTTTCTGTCCCTGCTGGATATGGGGTCAGACATGAAGAATCTGTGCCTCCGGCGTAGGGATGAGGACAAACTGAGCATCGGCCAGTGCATCGAGGGCAGTAATCAGCAGTGAAATATAACAGGGCCGTCCTCAAAACCTTGCTTTTAGGGTTTTGTTGGCTTCTTTTGTTGTTCTGTTTGTAAAATGTCAGTGCATATAGGAGGATCTGGATAGCAGTACTTTCTTTTCCAAAAGATGGGAGGCTTTTATACTTTGGTCCAATATTGTGATTTGTGGCTGATAAAGTGAATTTACGCTTCTTACTTGGCCACAGTCAAGTTTGGGATACTACTGAGGTAGAAGATAGCAGCCTCCTTATGTGAAATTCTGGATTGGGCTTGTCAGGAGCATTATGCTGTGTGTGGCTCCTGTCAAGGGGAGCCATGGCAGGCAGAAGGACACCAGAAGGTGGCCGTAGGAAAAAGTGAGAAGAGTGGTGACTTAAGGTAGATAAGAGGGCTTCTATCGAAAGGTTGAAAGAGCCAGCCACAGAATTTAGAGACCAGAACAGTCAACCCCAGTATTTGGAAGACTGTCATACTGAGGGAATTGTTTTCATGCTGCCTGACTGCAGAGGGCAAGCGTGCTACAGGAGGATAGTGGCATTTTGATGCAAGAATAACCACTGAAGTATTGGAGCTGCCCAAGAAGGAGCATTGTCTCTCATGGTGAACAGTCTCCCCACTGCTGGCTAGTGACTGTGACCATGGATTGAGCCTGAAATAGAAGAATCCCTCAGTGTCTGACAGATAGAACCAGGTGACTTCCCTGCAGAGATCTATGATCTTATGGCGTCCTTTGTATTACTTGTTCAAAAATCCTTCATGAAAAGGATATAGCACTCAGAGCAAAGAACAGGAAATGTGTTTTGACTTAAGTGATTCAAATTAAAATTGGTAAACATATATTGAGTACTCAGAATACACAAGAGACTGCTGGATGCAGTGGGGGGAGGTCTCACCCACACAAGACAGGAGCCACATGAGCTGTGCCAGTGTGTATGGATGGTGGCCTGTGCTGGGGACACACAGAATGGGGGCACAGCCAAGGTTGACATAGCAGGTCCAACCATCATGTGGGAGGAGTGCAAACTGGAGTTTGAAGGGCAGGTAGGATGATGTACAAAGATGAGCTAGGGAGAGACCAGGTTTGTCTATGTGGAGAGGCACAAAGAACCAGGTTGTTGTTGTTCTTGGTACCCAGGGGGTGGTGGGTGCCATGTCTCACGAGTGCATTTGCTGAGAGGAGGGCAGAGGACTGGATCTCGGGCACTGAGGGGCCTCAGGTGCCTTTGTCTCATGGTCCCAGAGACTGAGGCTTTCCAGCCGAGTGACCTAGTCATTTGGGGGGTTTGTCAGGAAGAGGGCTCAGGCAGTAGCAGGCAGCATAGTGAGGGAGAAAAAGGCATGGGAACCTTAGGGAGGCACATCAGTGCAGAAGGTGGCGTGGAGGCAGGTGACAAAACAGCACCACAGAATCAGTATCTCTGATGCCACAGCCTTTCATAGATGCATGGATATGGGAGGACAGAAATTGAAGATGGTGCTGTTGTAAGTAGTTGGGAGGGAGGAGAGTGGTACCACTGCCAAAATTTTAAAAATTGTGGAGGTTCAGAGTAAACTGCTGTTGCCTCAGGCCTTTCAGGAGCAGATCCCTGTGCTGGGGCTGGCAGGTGTGGCCTCAGAGTCTTCATTTGTTGAACCATGCATGCAGGAGAATGCCACCTATGCCATTTGTCCCACTTCCTGACAGAGATTCATGTGGGAAACTTCAGGATGGTTCGTCATCCAGAAGGATGCCAGCCCCAGTAGCTATCCTTTCTCTGACACAAGAAACACAAACAAGTGAAGCAGGAGTGGCCGGAGCACTGTGCCAACAGTAGCGGGGTCTCCTGGGTGCTGGCATGGGGGAGGCTGCCCCCTCTACATCTTGACACTGTCATGGAGCAGCTGTAGCCAGACATTGTGCTAGCAGCCACCCAGGCCTTGTGCTCAGCTGTTAGGGAGCACACGGCACTGCTGAGAGAGATGTTTTTGCTTGTTGTAACTTGGGGGAAAGCTGGGCTGCAGGCCAGGGCTACTGTTCCGCACCCTACAGTGCCAGCTCTGTGTTGGTAGTGCTGAGATAAGGAGCCCTGCTCTAGGTGAAGCCCCTTATCCCTCTTCCCACTCCCTGCAGTGACGCTGAGCCGGGTGTCATTTGCAAATTTTTTTCCCTGTAATGTAGTCTTCTACCCACTGACAGCATGTGCTGTTTCCTCCACCAAACCAGTGTCCTGCATACTTCTTTTTGCCTGATACCCCAGAACAGAGGTGGCAAACCTGTGGCACAAGCGCTACAGCAGGCCATTTGTGTCATTGAGAGCTCTAGAACACTCACCATCACTGCAGAAGGACAGCAGCAGGACAAAACATTTGGAACAGAGATCTGGATGGATGGACACCATTAGGTTCTAGGTGTCTGCATTCCTGGACTCACAGCAGTGGACGGGCCCATCCATGCATCGTGTTTGTGAGGGAGTTCACTGCCAGACAGGGACGAGCACCCACTGCAAATCTGTGGCGTTGCCATCGTGATCCACCATCTAGTTTGAAGCTATCTGTGAAGGAAAAGAATGATGTGGCAGTGGCCTCATATGCTTGTCACTATTGATTGTGTCTGGAGGTGTCAGACATCAGGCAAGAGCCTGGATGGGTGGTGCCTTGGGAAGAGTTGACAGTTGTCTAGGGTTACTGACTTTGTTCCATGTGAGGAAAAAAATAAAATAAGATAGGAACGTTTGCAAATATTTTAGCAACTATGGGCTCAGACTCAAAAGCCATATTTGATTATAACATCCAATCTTTCGGTTTTCAAAACTTTTGGTTAAACTCTCTATTGTAAAGGTTTTTAATTGCAATAATCTCAGGTACAAGTTTTTAATCTCTTGTAATTGTCTTGCTTTTGAACTCATGCCTGCACTGTGAATTGGGGATGTGACCGCGGGGAGTGCCTGTGCTTCCTCACCCCGTTGAGTGATTTCCCAGCTTCACGGGAACACACGTTCGACTCTTCCACCATCTGTAGCAGAAAACTGCACTGGACCACTGCACACAGAATTTTGTTCCCACAGTGTTCCCTGATGATGCTGGAGTGGCGCCTGTGGAGCCCAGGGACGTGGCTCTGCCCTGTGAGGTGGTGACAGGCCTGTTGGTGACTCCTGTTTAAAGCAGGCTCCTCAGGGGAGCAGCTGCAGTCACACAGGGTCTGTGAGCACCACGTGCCCCGCTCAGAATGGAGATTATTCCTATCAGAGGTTTTCTTAAACATTTTCCAAAATAGAAGCCAAATCTTTGGCTTTGTTCACAAAGAATAATCAAGACTACATTGGAAACAGATGCGCCTCAAGATCTTAACTTGGAAGCCAAACTTTCTCCACAAGACAGCATAGAGTTGAATAGCTGAAAAGTGATTTCTAATAATTCCTTATTGAGTGGGACAAGGGAGAGCTATATTTATAAATGGAAACTTACAGGACTGGCCCCACATGCTGGCATTGGTTTTAGCACCACCAGCTTTCACTCCAGTCCCTCTGCAGGCTTTGTTGTGGTCTCACGAGAGGCTTTAAAGAGTGTCCACAGGTTGTGCCAGCTCAGGGCTTGGCTTTGCCTTCTGGCACCAGCGCGGGTGAAGACGAAAGGCTGTCATCGCCCTTTGTGCTACTACAACACAGTGCCCCAGGCTGGGAAATTGGCGAAGAAGAGGCATTTATTTGGCTCCCAGTTCTGGGGTCTGAGCTCCTGAGAGCATGATACTGCCATCTAGTAAAGGTTTTTGTGCTGCATCCTAACAGCAGAGAGGGTGTCCCACAGGCAGAGAACAAGAGAAAGCCAAACCCACGGTGTGACAACCCACTGCTGACTCAGATAACGCATTGCTCTGGGGAACCATCCCAGGCGTGCCATAGCTGACCCACTCCTGCAGTAACTAGCACATGCCCTTGCCAGCGGAGCCCTAAGGCCTCGGCCCATTCATGAAGATGGAGTCGAGGAGACCTCATTGCCTCTTAAAAGCCCCACCCCTCTGTATTGCAATGGCAGTTAAATTTCATCATGAGTTTTGGAGGCGACATTCACACCATGGCAGGATCAAATTCAGAGCTAGCTCCTCTGGCTTTACACACAGGAGCCTGGTCAGGAGGAGTGGCCAAAACTGAAGATCTTCCCTGGACCTGTTTTTATATCTGAGAAACAGTGTTGGTCAGAAGCAGCTAAATCTCAAGGAGAGGAATAACATGTCAATAAGATTTAATAAACTTGTATTCCCTTTCTCTAGAACAGTCAACATGTTGCTCTTTCTGTGGGTTTTATGTAAAAGAAAATGATAAAAGCATGATTTTCTTTAAAACTCACAATATCTGATAGATAACAAATTCCTTGTTTGCTTTCTAATATAGTCATTGTGCATTTTTCTCCATGGAGACAAAGTGAAAAAAGTATCCCTAGTCAAAGTCTATTTTAAAAGATTACTAATGCTTGCTTAGTTCCAATTCTTGTTTTGTTTTTCAGATTAATGCTTTTAAGAGATGGCAATTACTTTGTATTTCATTGCATGATGAGGAAGAAAATAAAGTATGAGAGTGCCCTCTGTTGTACAAGGAGAAAATTAAATCACTGTATTCGAGCAGTAACTCACCTCTTGAAGGACAGGGTTGCTGCCTGCCTACCAGCCTCTGTGGCGTGGCCAGCTCCTCAGCTAGAACTGCTAGCAAAACAAGTGACATTTGTGTTCTCTTTTTGAATCCCCTTAATTTAGGTGCCCAACATTCTAATCTATTTGGTGAAGTTAGCATTAAAATACCTTGTGTAATATTTGCCTCATGTGTCATAAATATCAGTAACTTGACAGGGTTAGTCACTGTACAGGCATCTGTTGCTTGTTGTAACTCCTTCTTTAATCTTCAAGTAAATAAAGAGGCTGTGTTATTCTAGCTTGTGTATTTCAGTGTCTTTTAGTGGTAGAATTTTCCTTAAAAGTCAGCAGAGAGGAAAGGTAACATGTGTTAAGTAGTTTACCAAGTTGGAGATTCATTTTATAAAGTCAGCATCGTCTCTGTTACTGTCACGAGCGCATAGTACAGCATGTGCTTATGTTGTCACCTTGATGACCCGCACAGTCACTGTTGAGTTCCTCTCACCCTCCCTGCTGATTTCCCTTCCCTTTCCTTCTGTGAAATGCGAGGCATAGTCCCCATCATACAGATAAACACCTGAGTACTGAAGGACGCCTCCTGGCTCACAGCCAGGAAACAGCTGTGTCACAGTGTTCCCGGCATTTCTGACTCAGAAGTCCAGTGCTCTGCTTGGGCAAAACCTGAGTAGGAGCCCAGGTCCCTGGCGGTGGATGATTGTGTCTCTCTTGCCACTAAAGGAACAAGTAGCTTCCCTTTGCCAGCCTCTGGGCTGACTCCTGTTCATCCTGATCGTGCTTTAGTTGGCTGCATTTCTGTGGGTAGTTTTAGGAGCCAGTGTCCGCTTTGCTAAAATAATTGCTTTGACGTTACTGTTCACTTAAACACTCGTGGCGCTTTATGTAAATGACCCATAGTCTCTTGATTATCTGCACATGATACGGCCCCTAATGATATTTTAGGTGGAAAACCACACTGCAGTGCCACGGTTTCACTGATAGGAGGATCAGGCAGATCGGGTAAGAGGCAGGTTGCTTGTTCAGGCCCTAGACATGATAAGTGTTTATGGCTTTTGCATTTCTGTAGTTTTGATTAGTGCTTTTGCTGAATGTTAGTGCGTGAGCTAACTTATGTGACGCTATATTGTAATGATGTTCTTTATTTCTACAGCCACAGCCCTTTCAGACAACACAAAACCAAAGATAAGCATGAGATAGACCGAATGACGCTCACCGTGGTAAGCGAATGAAGAACTATGTTCTTATTTGCATCATAGTATTTTCATATTGAATAGGCTAAACATAATACCTATAACATATAAATTTAAGAAACATAAAAATTTGCCTTCCTGAAATAAATGAATGAAAATAAAATTACTGGAAAAAATTTTAAAGGAAAGTAAAAATAAACTAGATGCCAGGGTAAGAATCAAGGTTTGCAAACAGGCAGCGTAAAAAAAGACATGAAAACAAGAAACAAAGGAAATCAAATAAAAGGAGCAAGCACCGTGGTGCAGAGGAGGGAGGAGGCTCCTGAGTCTTCAGATTTGGCTCCAGCCTGCTGACTGGTTTTGAAACCCATGAGGAACCTCCATAGTTTTTACAGTGCTTTTTATGTTTGTGTGGCAGTATCAACCCATAATGAATCTGCGGTTTTTCCTGCTGTTCTTACAAGAAGTAGCCTGGCATCTTGTTGGTACGAGGGTCTGTAAGGTCTCTCTCCTTTTCCCAGAACGTGGAGCTCCCAGATGCCTTTTCCCCAGAGCTGAAGTCGCTCCTGGAGGGCCTTCTGCAGCGAGAGGTGGGCAAGCGGCTGGGCTGCCACGGAGGCGGGTAAGCCCTGCTTCTGCCTTCCGCCTTCCTCTGGCTGAAAGTGGAGCCATTGCTTTCATGTATCAGAAGGCATACATAGTCCTTCAAATTCCATTCTGACCTCAAGGGTGAGCAATCACAGGGAATATATGCATAATTCTCTATGTGTTTTGTAACTAAGGAGTTGAAGGGGTTAATAAGTTTATAACTCTAAAAATCGAATTTGTGGATGATGGAGATAAATTCTTATATTTTATAGCCCATCTGCAGAAGTTTTAGTCACACTTATATTTGTGATGGTGGTACGTCTGATGGGATGATCAAGTTCTCATGTGTTTTCTCTCATGCATAACCAGCTAACTGCCTTCTGACACATGCTTTCTGTTCCTCACCACCCCATCTCCAAAAACACCCAAGAGTCATGCCTGGAAAGCTTCTAGAGCTTACCCAAGATTCTTCTCTTTCTCCTCACACCCAAGCTTTCCTTGCACAGAAACCATCTTTAACAGTGTCACTTGTGTGTGCTACACCTGCGTAGTATATGTGTATTCTTTATAGAGGAGCACAGGGCCAGAGACATAGCTCAGCAGTCTAAGTGCCTGCCTGGCAAGCGCAAGGACCTGAGTTCAATCCCTGGTACCACATGCTGTGCCAGCCCCGCACCAAGCTGGCCACCAAAACCAGATGTGGTGGTGCATGCCTGTGATCCCAGCGCTGGGGAGGCTGAGAGAGGAAGATCACCAGGAGTCTGAGCTGCATAGTGAGACCCTGTACCAAATAAACAAATATTTTTTTAAAAAAATTAAAAATATTGAGTAGCACATATGCACATACGTGTATTAAATCTGTATTGTATATGTATGTTATAGAGATAGCTACGTAATGTGCACATGAGTATTTGCTTACTTATCAGTTTACCTAAGACTGCCTGTTCCTCCTGTAACAAATGAATATTTAGTTTAATTATTACACCCTCTACAGCCTTCCTTTTCCCTCATCTCTAAAACATTGAAATAGTATGTTTAGTTTTAAGTTATATATTTAGCCAGTAGTGCCTTTTCCATCAACAATGAACAATGTCTCTTGAATCCTTACTTGATGCTGTGGGGGTGGAATTTTGATAACCATATCATTCATTATCTGCTTCTCTGTCGTTCGTTTCTGTCCTGTTATTTTTTATGTTTGACATACCAAGTTGGTGTGGCTTTCTCCTCCCTGTTCTTGAGCATAATGAAGCACAGTCGATCCCCCACCCCTCCAGTCAGCATTGTTCCTTTTCATGCTCCTCATTTGACTGCCGCCTACTTGACCCCATGCCTTCTGGTTGTCTGGGTCCCCTCCCTCCATGCCCAAGCCACTCCTTAGAGAGCTCTGTGAGTGGATGTGAGGGGGACAACCTCTGCCACCCCATCGATGGCCAGGGTTGATTTGGCCAATCGGACTGACGAGGCAGGGGCGTCCCCTTCCTCCCTCACCGCCCCATGTTCCTCCTGAAGCTGCATGCTCAGCTGAAGAGGACAACTGCCCCTGACAGGACTGTTCCTCGGTCAGGGTATACGAGTCGCTGCGCTCTCCTCCAGATAGGCTCTCGCGAGATCCGTGAGAGCGCCTCATTCCTGGATCTTAGCTATCTGAAATGTCTTCCTGCTGTCCTCAAACATGACTGCGCTCCATGCCTGACAGAGGACCCAAAATCAGTATTACTTTTACCCTAGAACTTTTTTATTTTTTATTTTTTTTTAATTTTTTTTTATTTATTTGTGTGTGTGTGTGTGTGTGTGTGTGTGGCCAGCTCAGCCCACCAGGGGGCGGGGCTGGCTGGCATGTGGTGCTGGGGGATCGAACCGCAGTCCCTGTGCTTTGCCTAGCTTGTTCTAAGTAGGTGCTTTAGACCACTGAGCCATCTCACCAGCCCTACCCTAGAACTTTGAAGATGGCTTTTTGTTGCATTCAAGCAAACAGTCGATACCGATTACTGAGGTCAGTTATCGTTTTTTAAAATAATTTTATTGAGAAACAAATAGCAATGAGACAGTTTCGAAACCGATTACTAGGACAGTTTCAATAATTAATATATAGCATATTGTTGTCTTAGTGGTTATTCATTGTACAAGCTGCAGACATGATATCCTGTCCACAAATACTATTAGAACAAATGTTTCTATTCATTGAATTAAGAGAATGTAGCTGTATGTCTATTGTAACTATTTGAACATACAAATACAAAATGGTCGTTCATTTGTTTTTTGGTTTGTTTGTTTGTTTGTTTGTTTGTTTGTTTGTTTGGTGGAACTGGGGATTGAACTCAGGCCCTTGTGCTTGCCAGGGAAGTGCTTATTCCACTGAGCCATCTCCCCGGCTCCATGGTCATTCATTTGTATCCCTTTTTTGTTTAGTTTTGTCAGAAAAGGGTATTCCATTGTCATTTAAATATTATAGGCGCATGAATTCAGCAAAATATTCCGATATAGTCCAGTAGTCCATAATAGTAGTGGGCTTTCCATAAGACTGGGAGCTGGAGAGATGGCTCAGTAGAATAAGCGCTTGCTTGGCAAGTGCAAGGGCATGAGTTCAATGCCCGGTTCTGCCAAAAAATAAATAAAATAAAATCCATAAGACTGACAGTGTCAGAAGTTGTTGACTTGAGCTCTGTTACCACACCCCTCAGGCATCAAGCACTTCTAGTGCCTGACAAGACTGATGTCCTTCAGTGAGAAGAATACTCTTATTTTACTGATTTGACATTTCCTTTCCTCCATTTCTCTTACATTCCCTATTAAACAAACATTGGGATTTCTTGAATGATCTCTTCATCTTTGCTTTGGTTCTTTGTTTTGCTTTCTGATTTTTTTAAATGTTCATCTTTAACTGATTTCTTTTTTAAAATCTTCAATAAATTTAATTTCTCTTTTCTTTTTTCTTTCTTTTTTTTTTTTTTTTTTTTTTGTGGAACCGGGGATTGAACTCAGGACCCTTTGCTTGCCAGGCAAGCACTTATTCTACTGAGCTATCTCCCCGGCCCCTAGCAAATTTAATTTCTCAGAAATAGAAGCTTTCAGGAATTCTTCTCCCTCGTGAATAATCCCAATAATCCTAATAAGGTTTGGATATAGATATGTGTATGTATACATGTGTACTCACACATACCTCAGTGTCAGAGCCTTTGTGCATTGAATTCTAGTTCTGTGCCACACACACAGATGTGCACGCACACACACACAAGCTCTGCTGAGTAGAGAGGTCATTACATTAACCCTGCCCCCAGGGGAGCAGCTCTGCCACTCTGCTGTCAGTCTCACACCCCTGTCCACATGACCTGACTGCAGGGTACACAGGGCAGTTGACTGTGTGGGCCTTCTGGAGGCAGGGTGCTTGTCATGGAGATATGGGTGTCAAATAAGGACAAACAAAGGCACTGAAGAGCCTGAACCAGACCAGATGCCCAGGGAGCCCGTGGAGGCCAGGGCTGAGGAGCAGTCCAGGGCTGTGTGACACAGACTGGACTGAGGGGAGCCTGCTAGGCATAGGGCTGTGGACTTTGCTCAGCCCACCGCCTTGGTTGTATATGCACTGGGTCTTAATTATGACCCTCAAGAAATTTGTTATTTTAATTTCTAAAGGATTTGGCAGGGCCGGCAAGATAGCTCAGCAGAGTAAGCGCCTGCTTAGGCAAGCACAGAGACCAGGGTTTGATCCCTGGCAACTGCCCATGTTGTGCTGGCCCTGCATGTCTGTAATCCCAGTGCTGGGGAGCCTGAAAACAGGAGGATCACTATGAATCTGAGCTGTGTAGTGAGACCCTGTGCCAGATACAAGGGGGAGAGAGAGAGAGAGAGAGAGAGAGAGAGAGAGAGAGAGAGAGAGAGAGAGTTTGGCATGCACCATATTATTAGATTTCTCGTTTGTACCTAAATATTTGGTGCTTCATGTTCCCGTTATTTTCATGTTATTTTCTTTATCAAGCTTATAGTCATTTGCAATAAATTTCTTTAATGTGTGGATCTACAGTTTAATTCTCACATGAATTACATTCTAATAACCACAGAACTCTAATATATATATATATATATGTCTGTATATTGTATGTGAAATTATATAATTATATAAAGATATACTATATATGCATTCTGTTGCCCACTTTTCGTGTTTTTACATATAACACGTCTCCATGTGATATGTGAGGCAGACGTGTGTGTGTCATACCTGTGAAAACTCTGTTATCACAAACTGGAAGATACGGGACAGCAGTCCTAGGTGCAGCCCGCAGTGTTCCTAAACATCGCAGTGCTTCCTGCGCTGCTCAGAAAGAAGCCCTCTGTACTTGCTTCCTTAAAGAGCGGAGATCGTTCCTGTGCTTTTAACGCGGGACGCTTTCTGTGCGGCTCTGCTGTATTTCCAAGTGTGCACTCACACTCTGAGGACTTTCTTTCTTCACCAGCGCACAGGAAGTGAAAGAGCACAGCTTCTTCAAGGGCGTCGACTGGCAACATGTCTACCTACAAAAGGTACTCCCCCAGGCTCCCCCTGCGCCCCCTCTCCTCTGTCTCACGCTACGGGCCTCCTCATTCTGTCCCCCAGGGTTCCTGACCCAGCTTCCCATGTGCAGAGTTCTGCCACCTGAGTGGGCAGTTCCCCAGGGCAACATTCCTCCCCGCCTCCGTGTGCCATCAGCCCTGTGTATCTGACGATTCCATATCCGCAGATTCAGCCGACCATGGATGGCACACACAGGAAGAAAAGGATGTCTGTACCCAAAATGTGCAGACCATTTCTTGTCATTATTCCTCCCTACACAGTATAGCATAGCAGCCACTGGCCCAGCATTTACAGTGTAGCCAGGATAAGTAATTTAGAGATCACATAAGCGTAGGTGAGGCCTGCATAGGTGATACGAAACTACTATGCCGCTGTAGATGAGAGGCTTGAGCGTGGGTGGACTCGGTGCCCAGCAGGTCCTGGAGCCCTCCCCTACAGTTACTGAGGGACAACCACAAAAATTCTGAAAATATATTTTTTATAAATTCATTAGAAATCCACATAATTGAGACTTATTTAGCTTTTTGCTCTTCTTCTTGTCTCAATACATAGCCATATGTGTGCACAGAGCTATTAAGGAAAGGTATTCCAGACACCTCTGATACAAGTTTACACATACTTGCTAGCCCAGCACCACATAATTTTAAGAATTGATGATTTTTATATCAATATAATTTGCTTTCCTTATTCGTTTTTATATTTGTTTGGTGCTGGAGGTGGAGCCAGGGCTGTGTGCACGCTACGCACGTGGTCTGCCCCCCGAGCCATGCCTTGGCCACTTTCCTTGTTGAAGTGTTACTATATTCTCATTGATATAGGAAACACCTCAAATTAAATATTTTTAAAATGTTGATTATCTTCTTCGGACATCTTTCTGCATGAACTCAGCCTTGTGGAGGAGTGCGAGGAGCGCATGAGCTCCCAGTCCACACATGGCCACATGCTCAGTAGCACCACCCAGTGACTCTGGGCAGTGCTCTGGGTGGCCCCAGCAAGTCCAAAGCATGCTAGTCATTGTCCGGGCCCAGGCACTTCCTCAAAGCTCAGGTAGCATTGTACTGTGGAGGCTTTGTCTTACTTAAAAATTATTTAAGCTTTGGACGTAAGTCTTTTTTTCAGTTTGCTTGGACCACGGTCTTCCCCTGGGACTCCATCACCAGGGCTCTAGGGCTCCTGTGCAGTGTAGCTGTAGGCTCTGAGGAGAACCCTTCAGGTTGCTGTCAGCGCTTTAGGGGCGGTGGGCTGTTGGGGCCTCATAACCATGCCCTGCTTCTCTGGCTCCTAGTACCCACCACCCCTCATTCCTCCCCGGGGAGAAGTCAATGCTGCAGACGCTTTTGACATTGGCTCATTTGATGAAGAGGATACTAAAGGCATTAAGGTACGTATGTGACAGGTTTTGCTTTACTTTTTTTTAATGTGTGAAGTTTCTGTCTGGAATTAGTTAAATATAGTGATTGTCTTAGTTTGGGGCTCTTTGTGCAATGTAACTTACACATGCATAGCTATATATTTGAGACCCTGTAAGTTAAAGACCTAAATTAGAGTCCTTTCTGGGCAACTCAGTGAGACCCCACCTCAAAATGAAAGATAAAAAAAGCTGAGATGTGGTTCAGTGTGAAGGCCCTGGGTTCAATCCCCAAGTTACTAGGGGAGAAAAGAAAAAAAAGGAACTAAATTAGCTAGAAATCATGAAAGTTTTCGTTGTACTAATAATTTCATTTTCAGTTAATTACAAAATGATCAAATTTTTATTGATTTGCAGTAGTGTAATTGAAAGAAAACTTGAATATATATGAAGCAGCAAAAAACAACTGTAATCGCAAATGTATTCCACCTGGTACAAGAGCCAGTTGTTTGAATCCTTCTAAGAACTTGGATTTCCTTCTGTCAGAATGAAAAATGCAATCAGCATGAATCATTTTGCATTTGTCAATCAAAGGTGAAATAATCACTTTTTTACATCATCCTCTGCATTTTTCAAACTTTTGTTCATGTCGTTATTTTTCCACATAGAGACAAGACATAATTACCCATGGTGAGTCATGAGAGAAAATCACTGTCTTTAAAATGCCAAGTCAAAGCATACAACACTCCATGTCACACGGGTGTCTGCCCTGCCCTGGCAGCATCTCCAAGCATCCACTCTACCTTGAACCCCCATCTCTTCCCAGCCGCCTGCTGGCATCGTTCTACAGATCCCTGCACCTGTCCCTGCAAGCACTACTCCCCACCAGAGGTGGGATGTGATACCACTCACCCATCAGGTGTAAAGGAAAGAAGGGCTGTAGAAGGAAAGGGCCTAGTAGGAGCTGTCACCAGAAACGTCCAGGACACCGCACTGCAGGTGGGGAGGTGGGGGGAGCAGCACACAGATGCTGTGTGCCAGGGTGGGTGGCCACGAAAGGGAGCAGCAGCCGGGGAGAGCTATTGGTGGCATCAGGAGAGGAAGGCTGAGCCAGGAAGGCCACTGGGGTGTTCTCAGGAGCAACTTCCATGAGGTGGGGCTGGGGAGAACTCCCAAGTGGGGAAAGCTGAGGCCACGGGGGGGGGGGGGACACTGCTGAGCAGCTCAGAGACATCCATGATCTAGGACAACTGTCCCAGGAACAGCAGCAAGAGCAGGGACAGCATCGCCTGCAGCCTCAAGGGTGAGTGCCTGCCCCAGTGTGAGACCTGCTGCACAGTGAGCTGTGGGGACCATGCCCCTGAGAGGGCTATTTAAAGGGATTGCTGCTGTTGTGGTGGAACTTTGCCATCAGATGTGCTGCGACCCATCAAAGGGCACTAAAAATAAAACTGCTATCATGTGAGATCTTACCAGATGTTTCATGTTAAAAAGAGTCTCTTGTACTTAAATTTTTTATAAACAAGAATCTAGGCTTTGAAAGCAGCAGACTCAGCTTAGACCTGCCACTTGGCAGCAGAATGCATTTGGGCCATTCCTTAACTGCTTGGGAACTTTGGTTTTCCCATCTGTGAAGTGGATGGTTCTCTTGTCAAGCTCACTGTGCACATAAATGAGGCAACATAAGCCTCTTGGCACTGAGTCAGCACTTAACACACTGGCTTCTGCCTCTGTGGTGTGGGGAACAAGGACAGGTGGAGGTGGAAGTTGTAGGTGGCAGGGATGCAGCCGCGAGTGTGGAGGCCCAGTCCAGTGAGGGGAGATGTGTTGGTGTTTGTTTCTTTATTGTGGAACTGGGGTGGAACCTAGGGGTGCTGTACCACTGGGCTACATCCCTAGTGCTTTTCATTTTGTGACATAGGGTCTCACTGTGTTGCCCAGGCTGAGGCCAAACTTACTATCCTGCCTCAGCCTCCTGAAAAGGTGAGATTGTAGGCACGAGCACCACATCCAGCCGAGCTACATCTTACAAAGTGATCTGTTCTTTAGCTTTGTTAGGCAACCCAAAGACTATGAGGGTGCATGTGCACTCAGACCATGCCCTTTCCAGATGTGCATCTGTGTATCTGCACCTGTGTACCCCACAGGCACCTGCAGGCTTCATGTCTGCACCTCCCTAGCACACACACACTCCCACTCACACACCGGTGTGAACAACACCCCTTGTCCCATGCACGACTACAGAAATCTCTGCTCTAGGCATGGATTGGACATTGGAAGTAAATACAAGGGGAGACGGCACTGCCAATCCAAATGACCGCAAGATGGGGCCTTGATATGACAGCTGGTCAGGCTGTAGAGGGAACAGCCTTGGAGGGGACGACGGGACAGTGGTTTCTCTCATGTTTGCTGATTTGCTGAGGCACCAGGGCCTTGTCCTGTCTTTCTCAATACCTTGCTGCAGCACCTGTCTGAATCTGTTCTCCAAAACAGACAGCTTATGAAGGAAAGCAAGTCAGTCCCAAGGTTATGCTTCTGACAAGCCATGTTTCTATCGGAAGGACAGAGCAGTCTTCTGCCGCCCTCCTGGTGGCTAAAACAACTTTTCCTTTTTCCTCATTTTCAAAGTACAGTTTCACTGAAGGCACAGAGTGAAGGCTATAAAGAATCTGATTAAGGTCCTGCTTTACCTTGGTCTTAACCATCCAGTAGAAAAGTATGAAGATGAAATATAGGAAGTAAAGCCATGCTGTAATGTTGAGCTGTGGGGGACTCAGGTCAATAATTTCTGACATTGCCAGTTAAACAGAAGACCCAATGATATTATGGGCTTCTGTACTCTTTTAGAATATTTTGCTGAGTTTACACACCTATAATATTCAATAACGGAACTTAGAAAAAATGGGGCATACTGATGAATGTCCATTTTGTATCTGTGTATTCAAAGTGGTTGGGATAGATATATAGTTGCATTCTCTTAATGAATAGAATGATTTTTTCTAATGGTGTTTGTAAGTAGGATCACAAGTCTGCATCTTGTACAGCAATTAACCACTGAGAAGAATGTATGCAGTGTATTATTTGTTGAAACTGTACTTTCGATTTGATTTGAAACTGTCTCATTGCTATATGTTTATCAGTAAAACTTTGAAAAGAAAAAAAAAGAATCTGATTAATCATTGGAAAGAAAAATGCTATCATTAAATATAATTTCTATACGCAATTCTTGGAGGCTGTATTGCCTAAAGTCCATGTGTCCTGCACCTTGTTTATATGCATGATTTTAATGTTTAATTAGAAAATTTGTAGATTATTAAATTCAGCCTAGCTTACTTTATGTCTCTCTTAACTAAACTGAAGGTAGGTTGGAAAGCCTTCATAACTGTAAGCATATCATAATATGTGCTATAATTGTTTTAACACTCTACAGACCTATTTTCCTGTCTTTATAAATAATATATCCTGATGCTAATTAAAATTTTACCTCATCATCAAAATCTTTTCCTATTTCAGTAAAACCCAATGTATGTTAGTTTTCATTGACAAAAATGGAACAGAAGATGAGGCCCAGTCTACCTGAGCCGGATCAAGTGAGGTGCTCGTTAGTTGTGACCCAAAATTCTGGTCGCTTGAGTCAGTGTCAGCAGAGATCTGTCACAACCGAAAGCTCTCAGTGATTACATGCTGTCTTCTAGCCGTCTTCCTGTGTACAGCTGTGATAGTCACCATGGTTGTAGTGCTGTTGACCCGTTGTTGTCTTTGAAAATATGCTAAATCACAAATATTTTGATTTCCTAATAAGCTGCTTGATTGCGACCAAGAACTCTACAAGAACTTCCCTTTGGTCATCTCTGAGCGCTGGCAGCAGGAAGTGACAGAGACAGTTTATGAGACAGTAAACGCAGACACTGATAAAATCGAAGCCAGGAAGAGAGCAAAAAATAAGCAACTTGGCCATGAGGAAGGTAAAATAGCTAATGTGTCTTGATAGATTTTAAATGCAATGAATTTTCACAATTTCCTACGAAGCTACAAAAGCATTTGAGGCATCAAGTATTTCCAACAGAGAAAAAAACAAAACAAAACAAACAAAAACACTGCTCATTATTTTAGTTTTGTGTGGATTGGGAGAGTTTGATTAATATTTCAACGTCTTCAGTCAACATATGAACAAAAGTGAATTAAGAGACAGCTGGCCTGCTTTCATCTAAGCCACCTATCAGGGAGTACTGGGGGCGAGTAGGAGGCTTGTTCCTGCAGACAGAGTGGGGCAGTGTGGAGACCAGCTAGCCTAACTGGAGTGTGTCCTGTACACGTCACCCAGGGCCCCAGATGAGTGCACTGCTGTCACCATCTCGAGTGTCTCAGAGTGCAGACTTTTTAAGATGGGTTTGCAGGTTTGCTTGACACGATGTGGGTGGGGTCCTGGGAAAGACCTTTGTGTGCCCTGGCACTTTTCAGGAAAGAGAAATGTGTGACTGCATTTACGTTACCAAATATGTTAAATTAAAGAACAGCCAAATAGGATTTCTAAAATGGAAAACAATATCAAGTGATCAGAATCCAGTCTTTTTTTTTTTTTTTTTTTTTTTTTTTTTTTGGGGGGGGCATAAGAGTTTTTTTTTTTGTTTTGTTTTTTATTTTTTTTTTTTTTTAACCAGGAATCAAACTCCAGGACTTCATGCTAGCCAGGCAGGCACTGTAACACTGAGCTCTAGCCTCTGCCCTAAAATCACTCATTCTTTTTTTTTTTTTAAGCACTCATTCTTGATTCACCAAATATTGTTACTCTTGGTTTGTCTAAGATTTATTTATTCTCATAGGATATTTAAATTTATTATAGTTGATGATTAAGGTAAAATATCGTCTCATTCTCCCTCTCAGCTAAAACCCTGTGAGGGTGAGGTCACATATGCACAAGAGGGACCAAAGACACTTTCATTCTGTGTAAAGGTTACATTGGTGGAAGGCTCTTGGTATAGGAGTCTCTGGTTCTCTTTGACATTCTCCCAGGGGCATTTTATCACCAACCTAGAACAGAGACTTCCATTTGGTGTGACTTACTCCTTATGTGGTTGCAGCCCGAATGTAACAAGGGAGTATGGCACCCCTTTAACTGTTCCCACCCCAGTTCTGCAGGGACGCAGCCTTCGTGTGAGCTGCTGTTCAGAGTACTCATCCCTTGGGTCACACTGGTGTGTGCTCATGAACATGTTCCGGGGACCTTGTACCAGCAGTCATTTGGCTGATGGTCCTGGGATCCTGACAAGCGAGACCCAGGGAAAATATATGCCCTGGTGACTGCTAAAACGTAATTAGAGCTGTACTTAGAACATGTAACAAATGAGTGAACTGATTTTCATATCTTAATAATATGTTAGTAAATACATATAACTGCATCTTAGTTGATAATTTCAGAAATTTTTCTACTGAAAAATCTATAGTCTAGGCTTAGATCTCTGGGAAAAGAAAAGATGCTTATATATTTTTTTCTTTCTTTCTTTTTGTGGAACCGGGGATTGAACTCAGGCCTTTGCGCTTGCCAGGGAAGCGCTTATTCCACTGAGCCATCTCCGCAGCCCCGATGCTTATATTTTAAATACTTTGGAAATGCAAACATGTTCCAGATTGGAGTGGCAATGCCTCAAGCCACCGGTGGTCCCAGTGACCCTCCCTGCTGCCCTCCTTCCCAGCCCTCCCCCTCCTGTGACGTGATGGCCCAGCATGACTTTCCTCTTTGCTTATTCTTGCACTGGACTGTGAGCTCCAGGAGGCCAGGATTTTGTCCCTTTATACATTGCTGAATCCAGAATATACCCAGCGCTTGGGCTTTCACAGACTGCTTATTGAGAGAGAGAGAGAGAGAGAGAGTGAGTGAGTGAGTGAGTGAGTGAGTGAATGAATGAATGAATGAATATGTCAGTGACCAGCTGATCTCAACACGATCACAGAGCTTTCTGTGAAGGTTAAAACTTTATCTTTTTGTAAGAGTATCTCAAAAAGGCAGTCAGGATTCAACATGAATGTGACAGCCCTGCGTGTGAGGAACAAGCCTGACAGAAGGCCAAGGAATGAGCCATGTTTGACCTTGTATCACCTCAGCTGACTGACACAAGAAAGTCCCCACTCTATTATTATTAATGGGATGAAAAAGGTAGAGAAGGGACTCCCTTAGTGCCCTGAGAGGGCACAGGTACTCAGTTTACAGATACCTCAAATTCATTCTCCATTCTTCATTATTTGTTTTTATTTACAGCAAAAAAAAAAAAAAAGTTTGGAACATAGTTGGCCTTCTCCAAGGAATAAATGAGCATTTGGCATTTATTGAAATCCAGAGAAGCAGCCATATAACATATTAGTAGAGAGTTGTAACATATTAGGAGAGGGACAGCTGGAAATAAGGGACTCAGGGAAACCTGAGTTACGATGCTCAGTTTCCTTATATTTACAATTAGAAATAATGGCTTCAGTAGCGTTCTCTTAGAGGTGTAAAAGTGTGGCTTTCCCCAAACGTGTGCCCTTGTGTATTCCTGGGAAAACACATTCCTCGAGACCACCCTGTCCCGAGCCCTGGGTAACTCTCAGTGTCTCCGCCCTCAGATTACGCCCTGGGCAAGGACTGCATCATGCACGGGCACATGCTGAAGCTGGGCAACCCCTTCCTCACGCAGTGGCAGCGCCGCTACTTCTACCTCTTCCCGAACAGGCTCGAGTGGAGGGGAGAGGGCGAGTCACGGGTAAGTCCTGGTGGGCGCATCGGCGCAGCTTCTCGTGTGTTCGGTGTCACTTGGTGACCTCTTGTTGCCAACGTGTTTTCCAGATCATCTCCCTAAGTCCTGTGTATCTCAGTGTATATCACAAGACTGTAGCATTTGTACTTTGACTGTGAACCATCCTGGTCCATGTCAAGGAAAGGCCAGATAGTCTCTGAAAACAGCAAGTGTCTCAGAGAGAACCAAGTTGAAGGCCCCACGCTCTCAGCTGAGTTGAACAGTTGGAGGTCAAGCTGGAAATAGGGGACCAGATGAGTTCGCATCCACAGCTTAGTGCTTCCAGGATGTGGAGCCCACGGCAATGCCTCTCTGAGCCTGTTTCCTCATAAGAGAAACTAAAGAACAGAAATCACCAGGGCTACTCTAATTTTTACATGTCTGCCTGAGCCAGGTGCTATAAAACATGCACGTACACGTGCACCAAAACCCCCAGACTTCAGCCTGCTTAGCACCCTCTGAAGGTCCAACCTTTGATTGATGAAGAGGACACCAGAGCTTAGAGAATCCGAGCCTGGCACCCTGGGGCAGTAGCTGGCCACGTGAGTACTGAGGGATGGGGACCCAGGTCCTGCACTTGGTCTCAAGTCCAGACAGATGAAATGGCCCTTGTGATACTTGACTCGGAGGGGGATGAGGTTACCAAACTGTACGTCCCTTTACCTTGTTGGGAAGGTGTGGCTAGGCTCCACAGGAGGACGCAGAGCCTCGCACACTCCTGGAGCTCACACTGATGGACAAGGTGCGAAGTGTTCTAATCCATGCTGTGTCTGCTGGCAGCTCCGGCAGTTTACTCAGTAGCTACTATGTGTGGAGCCAGGGCTCCCATGCAAGGGGCCAATCCTGAGGAGGACAGGTTGTCTGCTCCCGGGGAGGACAGTGGTCTCCAGTGTCAGGCACAGAGTTTATGTGTTAGAAGATGGGAATGCTGCTCATTATTGCTCTTGAAGTCAAAAGTAGGGAAAATCAACCAATGAATGGATAAAACATAGGCAGTTTTTATGTACAATTGAATACTGTTCTGCCGTAAAGAAGGCTAAGTTCGAGACATTTCTAGCTAAATGGATGCACCTTGGGGCCATACTTTTATGGGAAATAAATCAGACACATGTTTAAATACCACATTGTTTCTCTGATGAGAAACAACGTGTAAATAAGGACGAAAATGTATAATAGGTATTGGGAAATGAGAAGAAAATGTTCAAACGAGAAGTAAAATGAGGAAAGGGAAAGGAAGAGAGAGGAAAACGGAAAAATTTGGAAGCAGGTTTTGTAAATTAGGGTGAGAAGCAGAGCTGAGGGAGGGGAAGGGAAGGGGGAAAGTGCAGCAGGATGTATCACGTACTATACAGATCTCCCTGTGATGAATGTGGTCATTATGTATGTCTAAGAAGTGCCAGTAACTAATACATACATACATACATACATACATACATACATACATACATACGAGAGTGGGAGGCCCAGATCTTGTGTGCTGGACCTTGGGACTGTTTTCTAAACCCTGCTGGGGAAATTGCCATTTTGGTATAAATGACTGTGATTATATATTACTGCATTTCTTTAAGAATCAATAAGATCTTCCCAGTATTACTTGTTGCATAAATGTCATTTAAAAACAATATGTCTAGGTCTGGGTGCGACTGATAGACTTCGCAGGGCTCTGAGTTCAAGCTTAGGTGCTAGCACACGCGCAGTAGCTGCTCCGAGCTCAGTCTGCGCGCGGGAATGAGTGGGCCGGGCCCGCAACTCATTTACTGTGTGGTCTACTGGTGAGTCACTGTTGTGCGGGTGAAAGGGCAATTGTCCCACTTTTCTTTAAAAGAAAAAAAAAATCTTTAACATCAGATTCAGAAGCTCATCTTGGCTTTTAAAAGATTTAGCATTTAGTGCATAGGGGTTTTTTGTTATTGTTTCTTTTAATACTTTTATTGATAAACAAATAGCAGTCAGAAAGTTTCAAAACCGATTAGTAGGACAGTTTCAATAATTAATACATTGCATATTGTTGTCTTCTTAGTGGTTATTCATTATACAAGGTGCAGACCTGATATCCTGTCCACAATCACTATTAGTACAAATCTTTCTATTCATTGAATTAAGAGAAAGTAGCTCTATACCTATCCTAGGTCTATTTGTTAAGTATAAACAAGTAAAAGAAGAAACTTAAGTTTTCGACTGTACTGTTTTTCATTAGGATTCCTGAAGTAGTTTCCAAAAAACAAAATGGTAAGAAGCTCGTGACACCGTAGCATTCACTTGTGCAGGCAGCAATGCTGCAGACCTCATGTGACAATCTTTAAAGGATGTCACCTGTATTTAGAGTGCCATTTTGATATTATCAAAATATTCTTAGCTTACAAGAAAGCATCCCCAAGCTGTTCCAGAGTTGCTAGGTTACCACTGAGCCACACCCTTTTGCTCGACTCATCCATAGCACGGCACTGCCCCCTGCTGGCCGTGTGTAGAACAGTGCACTCGGGAAGGTCTTGCACCTCAGACCACACAAAACCAGACCATCTTGCTGTTTGCTCTCTAGTAGAAACGTTGCTTTCTTTGCAGTTTTGGGTTTGTTTGTTTGTTTTTTTAATGTTATAATTGGAACTTTTCTGCATGGTCCTTTATAGCCATCTCTCCATCACTTCTAAAATATCTTTTAAAAAAAAGTATTTAGTACAGGGTCTACTGGGTCTCACTACACAAATTGGACTCATAGTGGTCCTTCCATTTTCAGCCTCCCAAGCACTGGGATTATAGATGCACACAACCATGCCCAGTCTCAGTCACCATCTCAGTACACCCCAAGACAGGGCCGGCATGGCAGGCCAGGGGGATTGAACCCCTGGCTCCTGCTTCTGCCTAAACAGGCACTTTAATCCGCTGAGCTCTCTAGCTGACAAAAAATACATATTTTTAAAAAATAATTTTATTGGGCTGGTGAGATGGCTCAGTGGTCTAAAGCACCTACTTAAAACAAGCTAAGCTAAGCAAAGCACAAGGATCATGGTTCAATCCCCCAGCACCACATGCCAGCCAGCCCCGCGCCCTGGTGGGCTGAGCTGGCCACACACACACACACACACACTAAATAAATAAATAAAATGTTTTTTTAAATAAATAAATAACAATAATTTTATTGAGAAACAAATAGCAATGAGACAGTTTCAAAACCGATAACTAGCACAGTTTCAATAATTAATACATTGCATATTGTTGTCTTAGTGGTTATTCATTGTACTAGATGCAGACATGATATCTTATCCACAAACAGTATTAGAACAAATCTCTCTATTCCTTGAATTAAGAGAATGCAGCTGTATATCTATCCTATTTTGAATATACAGATACAAAATGGTCATTCACTTGTATCCCTTTTTGTTTGGTTTTGTCAGAGAAGGATATTCCATTGTCATTTAAATATTGTAGGTGCGTGAATTCAGGAAAATATTCCAATGTAGTCCAGTAGTCCATAATAGTAGTGGGTTTTCCATAAGACTGGTAGTGTCAGAAGTTGTTGATTGAACCTTTTACAGTTCAGCATATTAATATGACTTTACTTTTTATATTTCACTTTTATACCTTTCTGCTGGATAATTAAGACCAAGATAAAGCAAGACCTATATAACAAGAAATATAACTTTTGTATCTGATAAGGTCATTCAAATCTCCTAGGATTTATCTGAAACCCTGTACTGCAGTTTGTAGATCCTTTGTCAGTGTCAGCCATGTGGATGAGTCACAGTCATTGCTTGACCCATTTGCTCTCTGTGAAAGCCTGAGAGAATGTTTTCTCTCCATGTGACTCTCCTTAGGCACACTCTACATCATCAATCACTTTCTTCTGTGGCCCCATAATCTCCTTGATCGGAAAATTTGGGACACAACTGAGTTACATGATGTTGCAGTACAGGTTCTCCTATGTCCTGAGTCTTCACTGACCTTGAAAGGCTAGTGGCCCAAAAAATATTATCAAAGAAAAAAATGCCATTTTAAAACTTGTTCTAGGGGCCACGGAGATGGCTCAGTGGAATAAGTGCTTCCCAGGCAAGCACAAGAGCCTGAGTTCAATCCCCAGCTCCGAAGGAAAAAAAAAAAACTTGTTCTAAATTCTTGGTATTATTATTCATATATAGATCATGAAATTTTAAGTTATTCATAACTTTTGTTTTTAGCAAAATTTACTGACCATGGAACAGATTCTTTCTGTGGAAGAAACTCAGATTAAAGATAAAAAGTGCATCTTGTTTAGAATAAAAGGAGGGAAGCAGTTTATCTTGCAGTGTGAGGTAAGTTTTTATTTTTATTTATTCCTTAAGTGAAAGTTAGAACAATTATATAAATATTCAGTGAGGCTGACAGTCTGTTACTAAAGCATCGTCTTACTATATGGTTTATCATTTACAAATTTAGCAAGAAATCACTGAGCTATAAGACTTTCAGCAAATTAAGCTTTTTTTGAAGGAGCAACTATTAGAAAATGGAAAAGTATATGAAATAACTAAGTTATCATGAAGCCTAAAATGCTTTCTTTTCCTCAAAATCATACTATATAAACCTGAATTTCCTCCTTATTCATTATTTATGCATGCGCGCATCCCATATGGAGGGTGGAGCCCAGGAACCCTGCCACTGAGCTGCAGTCTCCGCCCTCCTTTTATTTTTTTTTATTCATTTATTTCTTTTGTATTTTAGGGAAGGGTCTACAGGGTATTCGGGGTCTCACTACTAGATTGGACTCGCAGTGATCCACCTGTTTACAGCTTCCCAAGAGCTGGGATTACAGGCGCGCACTACCACGTCCTGTTTCAATTGCCATCTCAGCGGGGTGGGGCCGGCACAGCAGGCCTGGGCATCGAACCCCCAGCCCCTGCACCTGCTTGCAAGTGCTTTAATCCGCTGAGCTATTTGCCCAGCCCTTCCTCCTCTTATTTTTGAGACAGGTTCCCACTAAGTTGTCCAGACTGAGCTTGAACTTGTGACCTTTTTGCACACTGCACCCCACAAGACACATCTCTAATAATTACTATCTTATACAAGCAGGGGTATTTTTTACTTAGTCAAAACTCCCCCAATATGTTATTTTATAGATGGCATTTGCTTTGAAAATCAAAATCCATAATCACATCCAAGGCAGAGATTCCCGTCTGGAAGGTTGGGAGTACTTGTGGGTAGGGTCCACCTGGTGGGTCCCCCTAGTCATCCAGCTTTGAGACAGACACTTGGGGCCTTGTGAGGCTTTTAGTCGGGACTGGTGGCTACTGGGAAGATGGACGAACGTGTCCCAACTCGTGTTTGTGTTTCCCTCCAGAGTGATCCAGAGTTTGCACAGTGGAAGAAAGAGCTGACTGAGACCTTCACAGAGGCCCAGCGCTTGCTGCGCCGAGCTCCCAAGTTCCTCAACAAGGCCCGGTCAGGTGTGGTAGAACTGTCTAAGCCACCATTATGTCACAGAAATAGCAATGGCCTCTGACCCCAGGGCCCGAGGGCTTCTAGGAGGCTGCACTGGGCCTCAGCCACAACCAGATCCGCAGAAGAGCCGGAGCTGGGATGGTGCAGGCACCAAGCTGAGCGCGGGTCTCTGGGATGCTGATGTCCCCACAGGAGTGGGACTGTCCTCAGCTGTGCTAGCCTCGCACCACTGCCAGACAGTGTCCGTATACACTGGGAACTACTGAAGAAACCACAGCTCTTTTTCTTTGCTACATACTTGTTTTGGTATCTGTGAACTTAGAATTTGAAATGACTCCTACTTGCCACTTAAATTTTTATGTCTGACATCAAACATGTCTTAGACTTCACAGGATGGAATTAAAACACTTCAGTGTCAGGGAATAGGTTGCCTTGTGCATAGCCATATTTCACTTATCTACGTCTCTGCACCCAGCTCCTGGGGGAGGTAGGCAGTGGGGTTCCCGTGTACACCCCCTCAGCGACCCCTTATCTTCCTGGGGCTAGAAATTGAGATGTGTCCTGACAGGCAGCTCTTGGGCCCTTCACCTGCACCACCTACCTCCGTGGGTCTGTTCCAGGGGCTGCCAGCCAGACAGGGCCATCATCCCTTTAATTAAAGTATATGGGACTGGGGAAATAGCTCAGCGGCATAAGCACCTGCCTGGCCAGTGCAGGGTCCTGGGTTCAATCCCCAGTACCAAAAGCAACCGCAAAAGAATAAAAGTGTGTGGGATAGGCTGCAGGTATTCTGGAGGGAAAGCAACCTGCAAGCCTGGCAAGGTCCTGTCACTGCTCAGCACAGTGATGAGCTGGCCTTGGTCCACACCAGTAGCAGCTGTAGGACCCAAGCATTCTGTTTCCTTGAGTCGCCCTGGGAAACCTGTCAGCACTGTAAAGAAAAGAAAAGAACTTCTCAGTTTTAGATCTATCATTTAAAATGGATGTTATTTTTAAAACAGTGCTGAGGAATGAGTGTGTGCAGTGGATTAACTGGGTGCTGACTGCCGTCGTCTATCACTAGCAAGTAACTCTTCACGCTGGGCTTTTGTATGACCCTGAGGACATTTGAGCAGAAGGACTCCCCCCAGCCCCCTCTGGTGTCGCCTCCTAGAGATTAATGTCCCCATTGCTGCTGTGCTGGTGATGCCCCCAAGCAGATGCTGGGCCCCCAGAACCAGTGAAGGCCCCCACATATCAGCTAAAACATAATAATTTTTAAAGTCCATACATTTGCCCAATTCTTGGTGTGGTTTTCGTGGATGTCTTTAGCTACTAACAATAGAAATAAGCCAACCTCATCAGCACTGCACCCTGTCCTTGGTATTTTAATGGTTCCAAACCATCACTTTTTATTTATATGCTGCAGTTGTTTAAAAGTATGTACTTTTTATGGAAATTATATTGTAAGAGTTTGAAAGATAATTTAATGTGAAAAGATCTATTTTATAGGCATGCTTTGGAAAAGAAATTTAGGGATTTGTTGTCAGTCTCAATTCCCAATTGGGGTTTCAGTGCACATACATGTCCTGCTGTTTCCAGTGCTGGAGGAGAGCTGCATTGTGTGTGTGTTCCACTATTAAACACCCACACACATGCACACCTGCACACACACATTCCTTTGCCACCAGAAACAGAATGGTCCTTGCTAAGTGGGGACGGCCAGGCAGCCCTTGTGTCCACCTGGCCCCACTCAGTTGCAGCGATAGCCGCTATGGGGTTCTGTGGGTCGCAAGCTCTTGAGTGTCAGCCTGCGAGGGAGAGCTGCATGTCAGCTTCCTCCAAGGGACCAAAGGCCTCCTGTCTGGGGAGCTGTGGCAAGACTAGGAGCCAAAGAGTGTAGAAGATTATCTGGGCTTCCCACGCTTGCTGTCCACTTGAGCCAATCCACATCTGTTTCAAAAATTATGTTTGCTCCAAAGCAGAAAGAAAACATGAATTAGAAGTTCCCCTGAGAGTCTTCTGCCCCAAACTTATGCCTCATAAATTTATACTTCATAGGAGACAGCTGAGAAGCCTGGGCGTCGCTTGTCCAAGCCTGCAAGAGACTAGGATGAGCTCTCTAGGGTGGGGTCTGGCATGGCAGCCCCGACAACCCTGTCTTCCAAATGGTTTGTGTGACCAGATGGGGTTGCCACTGGGCTGCACCCAGGCCCGTGGGGTTAGGCGAAGCTGCTGGGTTGGGGGCATTGCTGTGCTTGGCTGCTGGAGAAATTTTCATTGTTCACAAAATGAATTTCTAAATGCTTGGCCCTTCATTGGCCTTTGGGCATTTTGTATCATTGAAAAGTTCCAAAGTCAGCCCAAGTTTTCACATTTCAATAGATTTCTTATAGTTGGGATGTTTTAACTTTGTTAAGGGAAATAATCGAGGTTGATATTTTTATAAAATTAAGTTATAATAAGATTTGATTTCAGAATTCAAATGAATCAAAGCAAAGAGTAAAAATAGGTTACTTGAATCTGCTGCTATATAACATGGAATAAATTAAAATTTATATGACGCCTATTTCATTTTTTCTTCTTCCTCTCTTTTTCTTTCTTCTGTTTTGTTCTGGTTGTGGTTACTGTTGTTTTCATAGTATGGGAGATTGGAATGAAGGTCTTCACAGTGCTCTGTCCCCAGTGCTTTTGATTTTTTTGTTTTGAGACAGGGTCTAAGTTACTTAACTCATGGTCCTCCTGCCTCAGCCTCCCAGAGTGCTGGGCTGTGTAATCATTTTTAAATGGAAATGGGAGAGTGTCAAATGGCACCAGAGAGGTGGAAAGCAAAAAACAAAACCATACCAGCCTCTAGCAAGAGGAGGCCCAGAAATAGGGCCCTGGTATTTGAGTCTTTCCTGTGCTACCAATTCCACAGGAGGCAACTGAGTACTGCAACTGAGTTGTGCTTATTCACATACTTGGGGGTCTTCCTTGAGAAAACTGGAGCCCATTTCAGAGTGATATGTTCTTTGGTATTGCCGCTGGCCTCCCAGGGGTCGGAAGGGAAATGCCATTGAGACAGTCTTGCAAGTTACCGTTCACCTGTTGTGTATATTTTATAATTAAACGCACCTGAACACTGCAGTGTCGCCCTGCTGAAAGCTCAGATAGCCACCTGGAGAGTACGTCTATGAGCAAGCACGGTGTACTTGGAAGGCCGCATCCACCTTATTTCAAATAGTAACTACATTACACAGGGTTTGCATGGTTTAATGCTTGGCACTTGGCTGGTAACAACCTAGTGCTGATGCGTTGTGCATGGAGGGAGGAGGGCGTTACGCTTTGCACTGGTGTAAGCAGTTGAGTGTATTTGGGGGAAATGGTAAAAGGAGGCTGTTGGTTTAAAGTTGGCAGCTTTAAAAATGTTGGCAGTTTAAGAATATGGAAATATGTTGCTGCTTTGTCTACAAAGAAGAAATTAAGAGCTTTCTGATTGTTTCAAGTGTGATGTTGTGTGTTCAGGACACCATAATCTGAAATCTGGAGTAAGTTACTTGAAGCCATCTGCTTTTCCTGAAAAGAGACACATTTTTCTCTTGCTTTTTTTTTTTTTTTTTTTTACAGTATAAAACAATTTTATTTGCAGGAATACAAAATGATTGTTTGCCATGAGCATTTTGAACATATGACATGACTAATTTTCTTGTTAAATTTGCATTTACTGGGGAACTGGTGTGTATAAAACTTTAATTAAGTATAAGCTCTGATCTTCCTTGTGGTGCCTATTGGGTATGTGATATAACTGCAGTATCCCTTTGGGGAAGGAGAAGGGATTTCTTTACACCAAGTCCTAATTAAACTATAATTTCACTTTTGACTTTAAGCTATCAACTTAGGACTTGGCAAAAAAATTTTTCGAGGGTGATTCAATAGAGGATGCTTCACCACTGAACACTCACTGTCATCAAGGTGCTTTAGAAAATTAAAAACATAGCACAAATGATTGTACTCTATTCTACAAGTTATCATGACCTGCATAAGAAATGGAAAGCTGACTCACATTTTTACAGTGATCAGCAGTAAGAAATGCACTAATGAAACATACCTTTTACCTAAAAACCTAAACTACAGCCATATACTAATTTCTATGATTTATGAAAAAACTTCAAAATATCCAAATGTCAGGCTTTGCTGTACAATTGTCAGTTTTAGTCTGACGTTTTATAAAGGGACACTGCAGTATTTAGTACAAGTTCAGATGCACTTTTTTTTGAACATCTGATGTCGTACAAAAGTAACATCTTGCTAAACTATTATACATCCAAATAACTACAATATCTGAAGAAGCAAGGCTGCTTTTTCAGCCACAAAATACGACAAAAGATCTCTTGCTTTAAACTATGGGGAGATAGTTCTGCAGCTTAAGTGCCTGCCTGGCAAACACAAGGTCCTGAGTTTGACCCCTGGTACCAATTTTTTTTTTTTAAATTAAGCTACCTTTAAGCAGGCCTAAAACAGTCTATAAGAATTTTCATATTCTCCTAGATAGAGTAGTGCTTTTGGAGGGGACAGGGGTTCAGATATACCTGAAAGGGTATGCTTGAAGTAATGTATTTGCTTTGATTTTTTTTTCTTTTTTTGGTGGAACCAGGGATTGAACTCAGGCCCTTGTGCTTGCCAGGGAAGCACTTATTTCTACTGAGCCATCTCCCCAGCTCCTAAATGAAATTTTTACTCACTTTATAATACAATGTCTTTTTTCTTTTTTCATTTT